CCCAAAAGTTGTTCTCATCCAGGGTAGATTGCAGTTTCGTCGTTGCATAGGTCTTATCAACACCCCCAGCTGGATTCGAACCATTACAGTGCAGAATGGGAGCTTGACACGTTAACCACTCGGTCAAATTGCCACGAGTGCCCTTGGGTCACAGGGCCGATGTGAATTTCAAGGAAGGCCATGCCTTTTCCCATGTCACATTCTTTTATAGGATTGTCGATGAAGCAAACGTATTTTTGCTATAACAATCGATTACATTACTTATTTTTTGTATATAAGTTGTATATAGTCTAGCGGTAAATCGCATATATGGGATGTAGTCACCCTATTTGGTTTAAGATGACGAACGACTGGCCGACTGGGGGTGTTGATAAGACCGATGCGAGGTCGAAACTGCGGGATTAGAACAACTTTTGGAGAAGCAAGGCTATGGTATAATATGCCGGACCAAACGCCCTCTTCATAGTCACCTTGACAACTCGACTGAGATGCGAAAAAGAAGTCAGGCCATTTTTGTATAGCAAAATGACACTACAACCTCTTGGTCTTAATAGTACTGCTTGTTCCCTTCCAATAAAATACAAACTTAATCGGCCTAGGTCGCTTGAGTTGAAGTAAGGACTCATAGTTGGCTCTTCTTACAATTAGATGAATTGTACTGCCATTGCATTTCGCTTATTCATGCCTCCCAAACGGTGTCATCAGTCAACCTGGTCTGGACGGGACTAAGGTTTTACTCTCGCCTGAACCGGCTCCATCCGCAACCCAGGCGGGACTCGAACCAGGGTCGCAAGTGTCTTGGCGACATTCAAGTCAGATCAAGCTTTGGTCGAATTGCATACTGGTGGAATTGCCGATTAGGCAAACATGTATTTTTCATTGCAACAAATTATGCTACTTATTTTGTATATAAGTAGAGTTCCGGTACTACCAGTAAATCAGTTGTATGAGATGTATTCACCCCATTTCGTTTAAGGTGATGAAGAACTGGTAGTAGAATTTTCCCACAATGATATGAGTTGAGCTGACGCTTCCATTGAATTTCACAAATCCTTGCTTTCCCAAAAGTTGTTCTCATCCAGGCAGAAATGGACTGCAGTTTCGACTTCGCATCGGTCTTATCAACACCCCCAGCTGGAGTCGAACCGTGACCGTGCAGCATGTGACCTCGACACGTTAACCACTCAGCCAAATTGGCAAGAGTACCCTTGGGTTATAGGGCAGATACGATTAACTAGTAGTCTCTAGACTATACTTAAATACGAAAAATGTGTAATGTAGTCGATACGTTTGCTTCATCGACAATCCCACCAAAGAATATGATAAGACAAAAGGCCTGGCCTTCCTTGAAATTCACATCTGCCCTGTGACCCAAGGACACTTGTGGCAATGTGGTCGAGTGGGTAACGTGTCAAGCTCCCATTTTCCACTGCCACGTTTCGACTCCCGCTGGGGGTGTTGATAAGACCAGTTGATGCGAGGTCGAAACTGCAGTCCACTCCAGCCGGGATGAGAACAACTTTTGGGAAAGCAAGGATTTGTGAAATTCAACGAAAGTGTAAGGTCTACTCAAATCATTGCGAGAAAATTCTACTACCAATCCTTCATCACCTTAAACGAAATGGGGTGAATATTTATTTTCGGTCTAATTAAGTTTTATAATTGTTGGGCCTACTTCCATTTCGAGTGAAAGTGTTGGGTGAAGAGATTCTAAGGTCGGTTCCACCAGAAGACGACTGCGGATTCCTCTTGACCGGCTGTCGATTGGCTTTACTTCGCATAAGTTTCGTGACTAACCGTAGGTTATGACTAATGAGTTAGTCACCTTGGTACAGTTTTTTAAAGCATAAAATGGTTTTTCGCTCGAAACGCCTTCCCGTGAAGCCGCTGTGACAACACCAACAGCATCACCTACCCTGCTGCCGGCATCACCGCCTCCGGCATCATTAGTCCTGTATGGCCAACCCCTTCTCCACCACCATCGCAACGTCCATCCTCGGCAGGACCAGCAGAGAGGCGGCGCACGAGGAAATTTGATCCTCTGTACTGAGCGCCACGCTGGCACAAAGCTCGATAAGTGTTACAAGTTCAACTCGTTGCTTCTACAGCCCACCTCCTTCCTCCCCTCGGCATCGTCATTGCGTAATTATGTGGCCAGGTTATATCGGGTGTAGTCTTATTTTTTCTCCTTTCATCTAAAAATCATACTTTCCTTCCGCCTCAAACGTCGGCAAACGATTGACTGGCCATGTGGAAGCATTAGCAAACCGGTGGGAGGTAAAGCGTCGGTGCGAGTGTCGAATTCACTCTTCTGCCTCGCCTCGTCTCAGTCGGCAAAGGAGGCTCTTTGGGCGTTTTGCTGGCCGGGCCACATGTCAAACAGACGAGCCGTCTTTCGTCTCCGTCGATGATGCTTGCTCCACAGGAGCCACTCTTTGGTGCTGAATCCGAACCCGCTGGACGAGAGGTGGCCGCGTCACGCGGGGGTCGTGGAGAGGCCCATCTGACGGGGCCAGCCACGTGGCCCCCGAGGGGCTGGAGTCTGTTGGTCGGCGCCGGTCGAGGCCAGAGTTGGCGCTCCGACCAGTCGGCTTCTGTCATGCCGTAACCAGACCAACCATCCGGCTCGAAAGCTGGCACAGGGTTGACGTGAACTTGTCTGTTTGAACGGCTTCGTAACTCGGCCTCATCATAAACCGAAGAAAAATGCATAGAAGGTGAATGTCAAAACTTGTTGAGCCTACTTCCATTTCGACTGAAAGTGTTTGGTGAAGAGATTCAAAAATCGCTTTCATCAGAAGACGAGGCCGGATTCTTCTTGACCTGTTGTCGATTGACTCTGCTGGAACAATCTTTTTTTGGAGTAATCTTCTTCGATTCTGATAAGAACGTGCTGAGCTTTCCTGCGTCGTATGACGGACATCATCAAAGCAGAGTTCAGAAAACTTAACTCGTTATCTTAAAGATGATGATGTCCTTCATTTGCCGGACGAAAGTTTTGCCCGTTTTCACCGGAATCGAAGGCGATTGTCTTGGAAACAGCGTCAAAAAGAATGTTCCAGCAGAGCCAATCGACAACTGGTCAAGAGTCTTCTGGTGGGATCGACCTTTGAATCTCTTTACCAAAGACTTTCACTCGAAAGGGAAGTAAGTTCAACAATTGTGAAGCAAGAGATTCGTCGAACTCCAACTATTCTTCGCATAGTTTCGAAATTTTCCGTGAATCTCGACTAAGAGTTCAGGGCATAGGTTGATGAAGATGATAATGAAGGTTGAATTAACCCATAATCATATGAATTCATTACAGTTCACATATCCCTGCTCCCCCCCTTTTTTTAGAGGGGACTGTAGTCATTCCTTCATCGCCTCATGTGCCCAAGGTTGACTGAAGCTGTTAGTTAAGATTTACTGATAGTTTCGAAACCTACTTTATGTGCATATGACTCACGTAGTCGATCGTAATTGCAGGGTTCACGTTTGCCTCATCAATGATCCTATTATAAATGCGAAATAAAGGAGGAATGGTTCTTCCGGAAATTGATGTCTCTGCAAATTCTGGGTTTGAATCCTGCTTTGGAAGTCTAAACGGCGGTCCAGTCCAATCTAATCCTGCCCGGCTAATTGTCCTTCGTTGGGAGACCTCCATGAAGAAGAGATTCATAAGTTGATCGCACCAGAAGACGACGGCTAACTCCCGTTGTATTGCAGTCGTTTGTCTTTCATACGACCTGTATTTTCATACTAAATGAAAGTCGCCCCAACAATGTTATCTCAAGAGATTCATCGAAACCCAGTTTCTCTTCGTATCTACAACCAACTTTTGTTTCGAAATGTAAAGTCATGTCACAATGAATCACTAGGGGATTCGTCGAAACCCATTTTCTTAATAATTGAACTTTACTCGCATCGTAATGCCAACTTATCTGACTAGGAGAAATCAACCGATTTTCAGCAAAAATAGCCTAACAATAAATGTAATTTCATTTCCTTTTCGCAACTTGATTGTTTTTAATGAACGCACTTTGTCCGGAGTCCTCTGCTATCGTGATTATTATTTTAATTTCCACCCTCTGCTCACGGACTTGTCGCATGCCCAAATATTTGGCTGACATCAAAAGTATATATTTTCACTCTTAGCACCAATAGATCTCGTCTAAGACCTTGGTTAACCTTCTGCTGAACATTTATAGTATCTTTCACTCTCTATCTCTCTCTTCTGCTTTCTCTGAGTACACCCATTTATCTATACTCATCGACACAACCTGTTACCTATTTAATCTTATCTCCAATATAAACATACCATTTTAGGCAGATTTACGATGCTGAATTACACTTTCAGCTGAAGAGGTAGCATAATATTTCTCGCAGAAAGTTGGTCAAGGGATGGACTTAACTTGTCTCTTTGATGGCGTGACTAGAGCACTTAAAATCCCGATGAAAAGTCCTGAAATCTACCAAATCCACGGTAAACATTAAGGACTATTGAGGCCCGGTACTCCGGATAAGGTGCATTCATCAAGGTTGCCCTAACAACACCACAAATTTGAGAAAGCGAGATCAAGTCAGTTCTGTGCAGCTAAAAAATACTGCTACCAAAATAGAAGCCCCCTTAGTCTTTGTTTCAGTACCCTCGGTTGCATACAATGTCCTGTCCGGTGGCAGTCGAGCGATCGGTTTCAGTTAGACATCGTCACATCCACCGGCCTGGAATGTTCTAAGACCATATATTCTGATGTCGAATACCGGCAGGAAACGAACTTCGCGCGGTTCTTCTATGCATGAAAAGGGATTAAAATGGAAGTCCACATTTTCGAAGGCTTGCACTGAAAGACTGACGTTTGTTGCATGGCGATAGGTTTATGGGAAATATTTGGACTTGAACGGGCCTCTCATTCGACAGACCAATTCTTCCATCAGCCCTCAAGCGGTTTAGGCTGACTAAGTTTTTAGGGAAAAATTACTGATAGCCCCAAAAACTACTACGAAAAGATTGCTAATAAAGGCTTCATTACGATTTTGGAGGGCTTAAACTCAACTCAGAGACAGGGAAGACTGTCGATCAGCTTCTCTACCTCTCAGTCGAGTGGAATAGCTTTGCTTCAACAGTCTAGTCGGACTCTCGTGATTCTTGTGATATGACTTTCTATTTTGAAGGAAAAATTTCTTGGAAGGAATTCATACCGGAAACCGTAGGTTGATTGTCGCGGAGACAAGACTGTTGGGTTCTACGAAGAGGTCGTTGGTTCCGTCTACCACCGTGAGAAGCATCATCGAAGCAAGAATACATACTTTACGAAATAGAAAACCAAGAATAAAGGTGGCCGAATGCAACGCTATTCACTTTTTTGTCCACTTTTCCTTGCTGTCTCGTGATTTGATTGGCTACCTCCAACTATTGTTCTATTTCGTAACGTATGGATTCTTGCTCTAGTGATGTCTGTCGTGATGGTACAGACGAAAGCTTAGCACAAGTTGCTCGAGGTTGCAGGAAAGTGCATTCTAACAGTCTTTACTCTTCGGCAATTCTACTGTGGTTTTCGGTGAGACCATTTCGCTAAGCCCTTCCGACCAACTTTTCCTCCGAAATGGAAAGTCCTGTCATTGAGGAATTGTTGAAACTCAGTTTTTCTTCAGATCGCGTGGTTCCTACCAATCCACTGGCACTAGATGATACACAAACGGAGGTGATTAAACTGAAGGCATTAGAATTTTTAGGTTATCAGTAGATCGTGAATAATAAGTATAATTAGCATAGAAGTGGGTTGACCTCGTTGACGCGACTTGGTCTTGTGTTCAGGGAGACTATGTAAACTTCGATTTATAGAAGTAGGATGACCTCGTTGTCGCAACTTGGTCTTGTGTTCAGGGATACTATGTAGAATTGCACCGAGTTCCGAAGTCGTCTGCCATAGTAGTTGTCATGATTCCCAGCATCTGACAGTGGACTTGATACATTCTCAAACGTTGGGTTGATCTCGTTGTCGCAACTTGGTCTTGTTGTCAAGATGACTTAGTAGAACGCACCTAGTCCGAATTCGTCTGCCATAGTAGTTGTCTTGATTCCCAGCATCTGACAGTGGACTTGATACATTCTCAAACGTTTCGCCGCACCAAGCTACGCACTTCGTTTCGCTGGCCTCGTAGTCGGCATCATCAGTGAGCCTTGCCATTCTCCGCACCAAGATACGAACTCGTCGAGACAAGTGAAGTCAATCCCTCGACAACCGTTCTGCTGGAAACGGTTACACTATCACTCCTCTTTCTGTTATTGAGACAAGTGAAGTCAATGCCTCGACAACCGTTCTGCTGGAAACGGTTACACTATCACTCCTCTTTCTGTCCTGGCCTATCTAGCTACTCTTTACCATCTTATCCCACTACCGCCCTATA